TCATGAGAAATATTTTTTATTAAAAATTATAAAATTATTTTGACAACTGAAAAATTTATATCTTTGTTTACGAAGAATTGAAACAAATCTCTTCAAAGAAGGAAAACCTTCACCATCAAATTCGATTCTGTCACAAAAAGTCAAATTAAACAAAATTATTCACGACAGATAAATTAAAAAGAAATTTAATTATCACTAATTCCAAGGTATCATTTCAATTGTTGGAAAACGATAACTTTTAACGATCATTGCAATTAAGTGAAGTCGAGACTGTAAATTCTCCAACCCTCTATAATAGTTGGATAGTTTGAAGTAAACAGATTTAAATTTAACACTTCGTATTAAATCGGTTATTTTTACTTTTTCCATTCCTTCGATTACTCATTAGGAAATAATTTCGATTCATATCGGTTTTTTCATTACACTTTTCATAATTCTCTCAATTTTAGACGTTTCAACAGTACCGCTTCCGGATGAAAATAACAATATAGCACCTAGAAATTTAATATATTATTTTAATAACTATATTTTATATTTTCTCATTTCTATCACTTTTTAAAATATTCGCATCATGAAACAATGAAGCAATATTTTAGAAGAATTATCAAAGATTACGCAGATCAAGCAAAAGAACAGAAAAAAAAATCATTGATTGATATGTCAACTAATAATATTATCGATCATTTCTGAAACAAAACGATAGAATAGAAAATTAGCATTGAGTTATCAGAATTCCATCGAAGAATATTCTGCACGTCGATATGCCAAATAACGATTGAGCATGTTAATTACCTGGAGAGATTTCCGAATTTTTCCTTACTTCTAGCTGTAAAATCATTTATTGTTCATACCTGACAAGATTTTTTAACAATGTACACTTGCATACATCATAATGTTTATCATACAAACAAATCTTCTCGTGTAATATTTATGATAATTTCAATTTTTTTTTTTTGGAAAAATGATACGAAGTTGCAGAAATTTACAGGTGAAGCTAATTAAAGATAACATTAGTTTTGATTATATTAAGATATTATCCTAATTTTAGAATGTGCAAATTATTTCATTTATAAAAATTTCAAACGTATTCATCAAAACAAAAGCAAAAAAATTATTTCCCGATAAGTAGTGGAAATGTGCTAAGCCTCGTATTGGTTTTATCAAAATATGATAAAAATCTAATTATTTCAATGTGCATAAAATATTTATGCACATTGAAATATTCGGAAAGTCGAAATCACTGAGGTTTATCCAATCAGTGATTCATTTAATTAATTCAATCAATAGTTCATCTAATTAATCCAAATAATGATTGCATACGATGACTTAAAAAGTATTCACATCGGGTCGAAAATGATGTTTTGGTTTTGGTTTTATAGATGATAAAAATGAAAGCATGAAGTGTTGTCAATTTGAAATAATCTTAAAAATTATTGATTGCACTGATAAATACACATATATATATATGTACATATTGCATACAATATACATATATATTGGACATCATTTTTGAAGTTTATCACACTTTTATCACACATACACTTTATCAATACACTTTCACTCTTCCGATCACTCCTCTATTCTTCCTTCCCTTCATTCATCTGTCCCATTAGCACTTCTAACAGCTTATCGTGGAATTTGTTTTAAAGAGTGCTATTAAAAAAAAATTTTATCGATTTCATCTCCATCTCTCTCTTTCCCTCTTCATCTTCCTTCCTCCTCCTTTCTTTTCGTCTTTCTTTCTCTCTCTCGTCCTCTTTCTTCCTCACCTCTCTCTATTGTATGTGTCCAAGATACATACAAAGAAAGAGAGAAAGAGAGAGGGAGAAAGAGAAAGAGATAAAAAGAAAGCAGCAAAGAAAGATTGGAAAGGTTCATTTTATTCCTGACCGTTCCACTTTCGCTTTCATTATCTGTCTGTCTTTGTGCATAATATGTGTATGCGCGCGTTCACATTCATACATATTTATGCGTGCATGCGTGCATATATGCGATGCGGATGTATGTTGAGTGCATGTGTATGTGTAAGACTGTTATAGACTGCCCAATAATATTTGATACAATTTTCTTCTCCTTTCATTTCACTTCATTTGTTAATTTAAAAATGCATTCATCGTAACGAAGGTTGTTCGTTACTTTTCGATCCTCTGTTTTGCTTCCTGCCACTTTAGTTCTACCTATCACTCTCGTCTACTCATCCACCCACTCGTCCATCTATCTTAACCATCGATATAGTGTAAAGCACTTCTTATTCTGTTAAATTTGTAGACGATTTTACATTTCAACAGATCATTTTTTCTTTCGATTTTTAATCAATCAAAATTTTGCAATACTTACACACGCACATACACACACAAAACATTTGATCAAATATTAATAGTAACGATAACTTATATAAATTAGCTTTACGATTTTACAGGAGTGTTTGTCTGAATTTGTAGATACTGACGTTTCATAGGTATTTGCCTGAATTTGTAGATACTGAAGTTTCATAAAATAATTTGCCCATTCCGTTTTTTTTTTTTTTTTTTAGATGGCTTTTACACTGAACAGGCATTTAGGATTCTGAACAATCTGGACTAATCATAAATTAATTGACTTTTTTTTTCGTCTCTTCAAAATGTCCTTTGTAGTTGTTTGATTAATTTATTCTCTTTATTCTTTAATGAGAAAAATTTTGGAGGATATTTTTATATAACTTCACAATTTTTTCCCCTCTACTTGTAGTAAAAATTTTTAGACATATGATTAAAAATATTGTGAAAAATTATTGGCATCTGAATTTGAACTTTTTTTTAAAGAAAAAAATCATCAAGGGGAATTATATGAAAAGAAACTTCTTGATCAAATGAAACAATTTTTTTCTTTAAATAAAACTATTTTCTAATTGTATTAAATAACTGAAAAATATTACCAAAAATAAATGTACATAATGTAACGAAAGAAATTGCTTTATTTTCGTATGAAAAATACAAGACATAATGAGAGTGTTTTTTAAAAATTAAAAAAAAATTAAAACGACTAGAAACTTATCTTTCCTTTGCTTTTTTTTTCATCTTTCTTTTCCTCTTTCTCTTTTCAGTGATTGCGTGTGTGGGAAGAATACACTGTATAGAATAAATACCTCTTCACAAATAATTGGAAACCTCTATATGTTTCCATTCACTTTCTTCTTTCTTCCCATCCATTCATCCAACCGTTGAACGAAATGTTACTTCTTTCTTCCATACACATTTCAAAACAATTTGTATAGCTTTTTTTTCTTCCTTTATCAAATTTCGAATGATAACATCGAGTAAAATCCAGTAGCTTTAAAGTTTTATTTAAAAAATAAATGAAAATTCATATTTATACAAATCAATTAAACCGATGAAAGGAAGGAAGGAATAAGCAATTAGCAGAAATGTTCGGGAGGAAATACTATTAGCGCTTTCTCTGTAATAAACGAGATTCAATAAAGAATTGTACAAGGGAGAAGAGATGGTGATGGATGAATTTGTGCAATTTTAATATTTCAAATAGCATTTTAATTTAAGGATTAGCTAAAATACGGTTGTTAGTTGCATTCGTGTCTATGTTTTACATTGATATGTTTATGTAAAAAAGACGAAACTTTTCACTTCTTCACTATTCAATTCTATTTCAGCACATTTCTTGTCGATTCGCAAGCAACTCATTCTCAACTATGCCGATCACACGTGTTCACGCTCGTCCTATCTACGATTCACGTGGTAATCCAACTGTCGAAGTTGATTTGACCACTGATAAAGGTACAGTATGTCACTTTTTGAGAATAGTTTTACTAGCATCATTCGCTTTTTTTAGTTCAAAGAAAGGGAAAAATCGGTTTTTTTCAAAATCTCAAATCAGTTTTTTTTTTTTCAAAATTGTGACTCAAACGTAAAAATGAGATATAAAAACGGCATGAAATGGAAGGTTATACTAAATTGCAGAATTATAAGTTGATGAATAAAAAGTGTAAAATTCCATCAAGAGTGTAAAAGCAATATTTTAGATGAGCAGTGTAAAATTCCATCACAGATTTTGTAGGAGGGAAAAGAACCAATCAATCTTTTTGTTATTGAAACCAGTTAGAGAATTTCTATTATGAAGTTTTCAATGGTGATTTTTGTATGTGTCAGAATGCTTATAGTAGATCTTGTAAGCTTCTGTAGATCTGTACAGTGTTAACACCTATTCACCATTAAAATTAACAACTGAAGATAGATGGTGGGAAATGAGGAAGGAAAAATGAAAAAAAGAAGAATTATCAAACTTTCGTTTCAGTACTTTCCACAGTTGTTTGTTTAACTTTCTTTAATTTCAGTGGAAGGGATTAACTGATATTTATATGTTAAAAGTCTTTATTTGATTTTTTTCGTTACAAGCTAAGTGTTTCTAAAATTGATTTCGAGTTAACTTCAAAATTAGCTTGTTTTTTAACATTAGGAAGAGAATTTATTTTGGTGATATTGAAAAGGTATGATGACCTAATTATTTTCTATGTTTTCAAATGTTTGAGTTCGCATTTTGAACATAATATTTTTCTCTTCTGATGTTCTTTTTTAACTTGGAAGTTATATTTTAGGTATTTTCCGTGCGGCCGTACCAAGTGGTGCTTCAACTGGTGTACATGAAGCGCTTGAACTTCGGGACAATGACAAAGCTGTCAATCATGGAAAAGGTGTTCTGCAAGCTGTCAGAAATGTCAACGAACATATTGGACCCGCTCTGGTTGCTAAGGTACATTATTTTGCTATTTCGTGTTTGTACATTTAATGATTTTCTTCATTACAAATGCTGTGATTACCCTTTCTCAAGCTATTGATCTGTATCATAAAATAGAATCACTTGCTATTCATATTTTTATTTATGTTATCCATCATTTCACTCAAAATTCAAATCTTTTCATTATATTAAATGGTGTTGTTACTCATCGTACTTCTTAATTTTACAAAATATTTCAAACCCTAAACTATTATTCTTCATTAAAAAAAGTTAAAGTTCGTTTTTTATATTTCACGTATGGAGTAAAATTAAATTGAATTAAATGAGAAAGCAATAGAAATGAAAACTTGAAATAACTATTGATTCAATGAATTTTATGAAAGAGGAGATAGAATGAGGACTATTTTTTTCAGAATTTTTGTCCAACTCAACAACGTGAAATCGATCATTTTATGCTGGAGCTGGATGGGACCGAAAATAAAGGTAAGATTTTTTTAGCAGCTCTAAAACTTTGTATATGTTAAAGCATTTGCAGTTTTAATAAGAATATAATACTATCCATACTCAGACTGGAGCATATAAGTTGGGTAGGGGAAGTTTACTTAACTCCAAATAAAGAAACTTTCGATGCAAATACTTTACATTTTTTATTTTTTTCCACGTTTCAATGACCTCATTTTTATTTTTTATCCTTTCACAGTATATTTATGGATAAACTTTCAGCGAAACTAGGTGCTAATGCAATTCTGGGTGTTTCATTGGCAGTTTGTAAGGCTGGTGCCGTACATAAAGGTATGCCGTTGTATAAATATATAGCGGAATTAGCTGGTACCAAACAGATTGTTCTGCCAGTTCCTGCGATGAATGTCATCAATGGTGGTTCACATGCTGGTAACAAACTGGCAATGCAAGTAATTGTTGAATTATTTTGAATTTTTTCAGACTACAATAGCATTATCATTTCAAGCGGGTTTTTATTTAAATCATCACAAGAACAAACTCTCTAGTAATATAGTTTTTTAAATGTTAGAGTGATTTTATCTTGGAAGTCATTTATCTGTATATTTTGGATGAATTAAATGTGAAAACTTTTATAATGCTAACCAATTTCTGTTAATGCATTAATATTCTTGAATTTTTGACATTTTATAAGCGTAATATGAATACCAATAAAGTCAAATTATTTTTCTGCAATATATTGTCAACTAATAAAAAGAAATAAGGAAATTTTAGGAATTTATGATCATGCCTGTTGGAGCTAGCTCATTCAGCGAGGCAATGCGTATGGGTTCCGAAATTTACCATTATTTGAAGGTAAATTTCAAAAGTAATTTTGTATCAGTATCTTATTTTACCTTTATTTTGCATAAATATATTGTGCATCTATTCCTAAAAAAGATTTTGAGGCATCTCAAATTGCTGTATTTTCTTCACTGATTACTATTACTGGATAATAATTAATGCGATTTAATCAATTAAAACTATATATATTACAACTACTTATTTATTTGTTTAATTATTCTGTTATAACAATGCGCTATATTCATCTTTTGTTTTTAATTATCTTCAAATATAATTGATGCAGTAAAGATTTAGACATTGGCACTTGTAAGGTAAAGTATGGTGTAAAAATAAGGATGCATGCACTTTAGATTGGAGCTTTAACAGGATTGCACTGTAAATATTTACAGGCTGAGATTAAAAAACGCTATGGTCTCGATGCAACGGCGGTAGGTGATGAAGGTGGTTTTGCTCCAAATATTCAGGATAATAAGGAAGGTCTTGATTTGCTGAATACAGCTATTGCAACGGCTGGATACACGGGAAAAGTAGCAATTGCTATGGATTGTGCCGCATCCGAATATTATAAGGTAAATATTGAATTAATTAATGGATGTTTCAGTAATGTTAGGCAAAGAATTTACACGATCATAATTATTTTGGCGTTCTTTATCGTGAATATTGCGAAAGGAACAATGTTTCAGGAAGCGGATAAGCTGTACGATTTAGATTTCAAAAATCCAAATTCGGATAAAAGCCAGTGGAAAACTGGTGATCAGATGATGGAAATTTATCAATCCTTCATTAAGGTTTTAGTTTCAGAAGTTATTAATTGAAAGGTCAAATGAAAGCGATTGCATTAAATGGCGATTGCTGCATGCAATTTCTCTTTAAAGATCTGTTATGTAGAAAAAAATATGCGAAGAACTGTAGTAATTTGGTATAACCGAAAAATATCTTAATATAAGTCATCCGAGAAATGAATTCAGTTTTATCCATCGGAATACTTTTAAGTGGTACAATTTTCTAATTATTTTTCAAATTAATTCCGTACAAAATTTATCCAGAATTTGATCTTATAAATTCATGTACTTAATTCCATTATGATTCCCTTCCAGGAATATCCAGTGGTGTCAATTGAAGATTGGTTTGACCAGGATGATTGGGCCAATTGGACCAAAGGATTGGCCAATACGCATATTCAAATTGTTGGCGATGACTTAACTGTCACAAATCCGAAGAGAATTGCGATGGCTGTCGAGAAGAAGGCTTGCAACTGCCTGTTGCTCAAGGTTACCTAGCTTCCTTTGTTAAAAATATATTAAATAGCAAAAAATTCCTTTAAGAGACACTTCTGTGAAATGCTTATTTTTGTTATCTTGCAGTCTTCATTTTATCTAGCACATTAATATAGGTAAATCAAATTGGCTCTGTGACAGAATCAATTGATGCGGCTAACTTAGCTCGTAAAAATGGATGGGGTGTGATGGTATCGCATCGTTCGGGTGAAACCGAAGATACATTTATTGCTGATCTCGTCGTCGGTCTTGCTACTGGACAGGTTGGAACTTCTATTCAATTTGCTTTTTTTTTCATTTTTTTGTTACAATTATTTTTTATCGATAAGGATTTCTGAAATCTGAAAAATATGGGAATACATAAATTAGAAGCTTTGTTTGACGTAAAAATCGAAAAATTTTATGCTGAAGTTCCATTTTTTAATCAATTTTGGTGTTAGTGGTAGATGTACGGCTATGAAGTTGTTACTTATTAAAGAGTTTTAGTAATTTAGTGAAAGTGTTTTTAGAATTTGCAGGAACACTTTTCTAAATGTTGAATTCGGAATGACTGATTTAATGAATTTCGAAAATTTACTGATTTTTCTAGGGAAACACAAATCTCGTGTCTTCTACCGAATCCTCCTCCGTATCATTTCTTTCTAACAATTTCACTGTCATGAGATTAATTACACAGTATTTTATTCAATATATAAATTGTAGATCAAAACTGGAGCACCATGCCGTTCGGAGCGTCTCGCCAAATACAATCAGATACTTCGTATCGAGGAAGAACTTGGATCAGCCGCAATTTATGCCGGTCAAAAATTCCGAGATCCTCAAGCATAGATTGTAAAACGTTAATTTAAAAAAAGTATTGCATTTTAATTGAGCAGTTTGTCCCATATTCCTTCTTTCATGAGTACTATATTAGTTCTTGTACCGTGCAGTAATAATAGCTGTTCGAGTATCAGTTCATTTAAATTAATTTTATTTGTCGTTGTTTCTAATTTGGATCGTAGTTTATGCATGCTTATCAAGTTCTATTTAAAAATTGGTGTTATGGTGGTAAATTTTTATTTTTGATTCCTTTACATAATAATACAATTAAGGTTTTAATTAAAGAATACAAAACAATCATACGGATCGGCGCGACCTTTACCTTTAAATAGATCAAAATCCTACAATATCATGGCATCCTCAGTTGTAGAGGTTCAGAAATTTGATATTTAAAAATCGAGGATGTAGCTGAGTGGAAGGAGTTCAAATTAAAAAAAAAAAAAATTATAAAACAATCAGATGGAAGTGAACTGAGAAGTTGGGCTGAGAACGGTGGGGAAATTATGTTATATCTCTAATATTTTGCATTCCTTAATTGCAAAGTCTATCTTTGTAATCAAAGTTTCAGCAAAATGCGTGAAATTCGTTATAATTTTATCGTCCATGCTACGCAGTAAACAAAAATTGAAACGATGAAAATTTCAACTAATGTTCTGATTATCTAAAATTTATACCGGTTTATGTTATCTTACTAATCAAATTGAGCATTCCTGTTCTCAACTTATCAGTGAATGAAAAATTTTTTCAAGAAAGAAAAAAGATTGAAAATCAGCCAGCAGATTTCGAGATTAGAAGTTTTCTCTTTTTCTCCATTTTTATAACTCTTTTTCTTCCTCAGAAAGAAAAATGATACAATCAGCTAATCTATGTTTTTTTTTTTTGCTTGAGGAAAATGATTGATTATTTTAGTACTGAAATACATGGATGTATACTGCTTTTCTCATCATTACACTTAGTTAACAGCACTTACTCAAGGAAAATCAAATAAAAAAAAAGGCTTCCAAGACTATTAATTTGCAACTTTTCATATTTGCATTGTTTTATATTTAAAGAGAATGAAAAAAAGCCATTCCATCTTCAATCTTTTATTGCCTAATTGATCAGAATCATTTTTTGAAAAAAATCCGTATCTGTAACGTAAAGAAAGAAAAAACAAAACGTAAAAATTCGTAGAGAAAGAAAAATAAAACATATTTATTCGGCTGTTTTAGCAAAGTTTTTTATTTTTTTATCTTTTTTTTTGGTTTTATTTCGTTTTTCTGCAAATGAATTTGTCATTTTTGCTCCTTTGATTTTATCCCATTTTCAAGTTATAATTATTTTTTATGAAATTATGTAATTTGCAAAATTCAAAAAAGTTTTATTGAAACGAGAACATTGCAATTGTAAATTTGCAAAAGCTGAACCCAATTCAGAAGTGTTTTCTTTCATCATGATATTTTACATTACCACTCATAAATCAAACGAACTTACATGAAAAAAAAACAGTCGAAATATTAAATTATTTTAATCAAAAATAGCAAAATATGAATAAAACATGATATATGTAAAATTCATTTTGCTAAATTAATTAATCAATCATTTCTTAACTATTAGTTAAATCATATGAATTAATTCCTCTTCCAACAAAAATTCCGTCTTCCATAATTCATTTTGAAATGTTCTACTCTTCTTTGATGATGTAATAAGTTAATGAAATAAGAAATAAAATGATAATTACTCATGTATCGTATATTTTTTCCCGAATTTATTTCAGATTCAAAATCTAAATATTCCACTTTTTAACTCAATGTGCACATTTGCCAACCATTAATTTTCAACATAATTTTCAAAATATCTGTTCAACATTATGCACGGACTTCAATTTCACTTATTTGCAAAGAAAAAAATGAAATATTTTGGAAATAAAATGATGTTTATAATGGAATCACTACTTTTTTCTGAAATGTTTTCATTATCGGTTTAAATTACCCTGTGAAGCAAATATCGTTATCAAATTTTCATGTTTTTATTTCTCATTCATGGTGACACTTCCCTTTTATTACACTCTTCTTACATAATAAATTAATATTTTAGTTAAAGATCAAATGAAAATTCCTCCTCTTCATTTATTGTTATATAATGATTCTTTAATTAAAAACTATACTTCACACTATCCGAAACAATTATTGTTCGTTTGATTAAAATCAAATTATCAAATTACGATTTACGTTAAATTTGCGTGAAATGAGCAATAATTGCGCGTTAGATTCATGTGAAATCGTGATAATCAGTTAAAATACTCAAAATCATTATCGATAGTTTTATTTGCATCAAAATAAGCAATCGTTTTTTAAATGAATATAGGAACAATTTTCTGAAATAATTTTAAAATTGTTCAATATCGGAAATTCCTATTTAATTTTGTGACATAAACATGCATGCAGCAAAATACACAATATGATGTGTTTAACTGGTTTTCGATACTGTTTCACGATTTTTATGGTCAAAATTCATGCAATAATTTACGGCAAAAATCAAGTTTTAAAACCCGATTTTACGCTGTCACTCTCAAGCTGTTAGTTGTCATTTAGCTGCTAGCGGATAACGTTTCACTTTTAAAATTTTCATCTCACATTTAAGAAAAGTTACCTAACAGGTTATAAACTTTGCTAACTATCATTAGTGAAAATTTGAATTTAATTTATCAAAACGATCTTCACATCATTATGATGAATGGCTTTACATTAGTAATTCCATTTCATTTAATTTCTCTCCCGTGAAATTCATTAACTTTTTTTCTAACTATTCGACAAAATTCTTTTTTGTCATTTTTCATGGATTAAAATAAATAAAACATTTAATTAATGATAATTGTTTATTCATTCATTTATAAGCAAATAAATTGCATCTGTCACTCTGTTATTTTATTTACGTCAAATTTTCTTCATAAAAAAGCCAAATGATTCGTACTTTAATTTCTCTCTCTTTTCTTTGTTTACCTTATAAATTTTCGTTCGGTAATTATCATACTGTGAGCATTCTTTGTTTTTTCTAAATTTTTAAATACATTTTCTTTGCACTTTTTTCGCTTTATTTTTTTATTTTTATCATTTTTAAATCAAATTTCAAAATTGCATAAATATTCTCCCGGATGATTTTTATTGATATTTTGCATATTTTGCACTTGTAAATACTTCCTTACTTTAAAAAAAAGTCTTTTAATTGATGTGTTATTTGAATTGAAAAATATCCTAATATAAAGTTCAATCTATATAGAGGTGATGATAACTGATAAGTATAAGATTGTTTCTGAAAACTATATCCAAATCGAGGTAATACACATGACATTTATCATTAATTAAAATTAGATGATCTTTGTCATCAACTAATGACTTAAATGGTACATGTATTTCAAAAAATTGCATGCTATTTGCAGTAATAGTAATATTATCACTACTATCATCGGGCAAGCATTGATTATCAAAGATAATTTCAGTATCATTTAATACAAAAAAAATTCCAATTTATGAGAGAAATATGTTCTTATACCATAGAAAAGTGTTTGGAAAAAATATTTGAAGGACAAAACATGCGAACAGGAAACGACGAAATGAGATAATTTGTATGATTATTTGAAAAACGAACAGAGATATGAAATGATATGGAACGAAAAGATGACGAAATGGTCCGAACAATTTTAAGGATGAAAATTACAAACAAACATGAACGATGGAATATGAAAGAATGGCAGTTCTAATTGGTCAATTTAAATGTTGAAAATTATGCTAAATTAGCGATAAATTGGACTTCATAAAAATGAATGTGAAAGAGAAAAAAAATATTTAGAACAGAAATATCCAAAAAAAAGAAAAAAATGAATAAAAAAAGGATAAGAAATGTAAAAAATAAAATATTGCAATCCGACAAAATGTTTCAATGAAACGGAGAGAAAATGTATTTTTGTGAAAAAAAAATTACTCAAGCAATGCTTATTGAGCTTAAAACAATTAAACATTTAACATTTCCTTTTCTTTAACCAAATTTCCTTTCTCGAAATATTTCAACTTACAAGCTAAATGTTTGCTTTCATTTTTTGGTGAAAGTTTTATTTTAATTATTTAAAATTTTTGATTTTAAAAACGATTATTTTTCGTCCCTTATTTATTTTATTTAATTAATTGATTATTATTCAACTGCTTAATTATCTATACATTTACTTGTCATATCATCCAATATGTGTCTATTTGCTTAATTCACTATCTTATTTTCTAATCATTACTTGTTATCGCTATGTTGAGTAGTTATTCAAATAGCTACAAAAGTGAAAAATTGTAAATTTTTATTCAGCACTCAGCAGCGATTTGCTTTTTCGCCTTATAAATAAGATGATTGATTACTTTTCTGATCTATAAGTAAAGAAATTAAGTAATTGATAGAAAGTAATTGTTGGTTAACGTTCCTTGTAAGTAACTGTTGGTTTTTTTTTTGTTAGTTAAGTAATTGTTGGTTTTCATTACCAACATTTCTTATCTATAAGCAAAGAAGTTAAAATAATAAAGTAACTGATAGAAAAAATTTTTACTAATATCCTTGAAATTTTTTTTGATAATTTATTGTGTAATTGCATCTGACGCGCGTACGTCTGGTATGCCGTTAGCGTAAAGTATATTCCTCCGCCCTTGTACAATATATCATTAATTGGAGGAATGTAAAAGGGATTAATATAATTTGAAGTTGAAAATTCTGATTTTTAGATTAAATCAACGAAAGATTATGAATTTTTTTCTTTGCAGTCTTATCATTGAAAATACTACTTTAATTCTTGCATTCAAGATTTTCATAATACAAAGACTTTTAAGGCCACAGCTTCTTTTTTTAAGTGTATAATTTTTAAAACGTATAAATTCCTTTCAACTTTGTTAATTTTTTTAACTTTTTTATTATTTCCTTCAAGTACAGAGATTTCAAATTTTTAATTAAGTTGGCTCAAAATCATTAAATCATTAAAATTTGTTAATTTTGTTAAA